TCTTAAATTAAGACTGGTGAAACTGAGTTTGCTGGATGTTTATGATCAAGACTTAAAGTTAAATTAAAATGGCCAAGAAAACCAATATTTGACTCTTACCCACTGAGTCAGTCTGAATCTAGGGAACAGGGAACTTCTCTAAAAGAGAGTTTTAAAACTCTGGGCCACATAATCTCCCGATCAGGGACATTAATGAGACCACTGGAGAATGAAAAGCCATTCAGCGCACTTGCTGTGAATAGGAGGGTCATTGGAGAAGGGAGACATCCCTGATGCTTCCAAGGGAAGCCACATGGTCAATCAAGACCTGGACCCATCCTAGCACAAATGGCACTAGCAGAACTAAGAAGCTATTCTCAAGTTTCCCCACAAGTGACCTCTATGGGAACTCGGCTGACTCTTAACAATAGATAGAAACAAAGTCAATTTTGACCAGCTTGATCTTAAACACCTACCAAAACCAGTTAAACCAAAACACAGTCATTCCTGGGGGTAATGGAGGACAAGAACAGCTAGAAAAGAGGAGACAGCAACTAGGCCAACAGGCTCCATGGGGAATGTTCAATCAAGTATGGCCTTGGCTCCTCCCCCTCACAGGACCCCTATTAGTCCTCTTTATGTTTCTCCTAATAGAACCATGACTATTAAATTGCCTACAGAAGTTCCTGAAAGATCAGATACACAAATTCACCAACCAGCTAGTCAATCAACTACTTCTTTAAGACTACCAGCCCCTGATGCTCAAGACAGAGACGTATAATTCATGACCAACTCCTCTGGCTCCAGAGACTCTGCCCCCATCTAAAACCCTTCCTAACCCCTTTTCCAGTCTTTACAACCCCTTTTTCACTTCCTAGGAATGAGAACTACTCTCCAGCAGGTCAATTCTGCTTGTTCAGTCTGCTCTACAGTATTCCCACAAGGAAGCAACAAACCTAAACACCCCACACCTCAGATGAAGAGCCACCAGCCAGGCAAAGACTGGTAGATCAACTTCACTCACATGCCTAGGCACAAAAAGCTTCTCTACCTACTTACTTTGATTGATACTTTTTCAGGTTGGATAGAAGCCTTCCCTACATCCAGGGAAACTGCTGACACTGCTGCCTCCATCCTCATCCAGCAGATCATTCCCAGGTTCAGATTTCCCACCTCCACCCAGTCAGACAGCAGTCCGGCCTTCACTTCTCAGGTTGTTCAACTAGTCTCCAAAGGCCTCAACATCACTTGGAGGCTCCACATCCCCCACCAACCCCAATCCTCGGGTAAGGTTGAGGGGCCAATAGCATTCTTAAGGATCATCTCACTAAACTTGCTATTGAACTCAGGCTCCTCTGGCCCAATCTCCTGTCCTTGACCCTCACCTGAATTCAGGCAACCCCAAGGGCCCCCTCAGGCCTTAGCCCCTTTGAGCAACTCTATGGGTGCCCTTTCTTAACCACCCAAAGCTTTCCAATCACTCCTCCTCCCCCTGTGCCTACCTGTCCTATCTCACACTTCTACACAAACTCCTAAGGCAACATGCAGACTGGTGCCTTCCTGCGCCATTCATTGCCTCATCCCCAGCACAACCACAAATCGAATTGGACCCTCTTCAACTGGGTGACTCAGTCTTACTTTGGGAACTGCATTCTTAATCGTTGGAACCTCGGTGGACAGGACCCCATAGAGTCATACTTACTACCCCGATTGTGACCAAGCTTTTAGATACTCCCCCTGGTACCATGTCTCCTGCCTTAAAAAGGCACCTGTTCCAAATGTCCAGTCCTGGACTTCCACCACGCCCACCAAACTCAAAATTTCTCACCAACCCTCTTCTTCTTTTACTAATCATTAATCTCTCTCAAGTTTCTATTCCAACCACAGATGGCGCTTTAACATCCAAGCGACATGGCACCAGGATGACACCATCCGCTCTCAGTTTATGGGTCAAGGTGATTGTCCTTCCACTGGCTGCAATCGGGCTGTCACCCTTAACATTACTGGATTCAACCAAGCCACCTCCGATACTTCCTAGAGTCTCTAAGACAGGACCAATGGCTGATACCAAGATCTCCTATGCTCAGAAATGGTTTGATGCTGTTGACAACCTATGGCTTCAAGGAACTTTTATGGACTTTAACCCTACCAAAGTAGTTGTCTATAGCCACTGGGTGTTATTTCTGGCTGCCCTGGTGTTCTCAGACCTGTCCCCCCAAACATTCCTCCACTTTCCCTTCTAGGTTCCAGGCTGCCCACCATTAAGCAGGAAGTAGCTAGAGGACTTTATGCTGTCCCCCAAGTCATTTAGAAAAACAAAAAGGGAGGAATGTTAGGTGCAGGACAGGCTGGTCTGCAGGGCATGCCAAACAAAGTTAGCTGCAGGATGACCTAACCACTCAAACCCTCTGTCTGGTTCTTTTTTTTTTATTTTTCTTTTAAGAGAGAGAGAGAGAGAGAGAGAGAGAGAGAGAGAGAGAGAGAGAGAGAGATTTTTTTTTTTTAATATTCGGTGGATACAACATCCTTGTTTGTATGTGGTGCTGAGGATCGAACCCGGGCCGCATGCATGCCAGGCGAGCGTGCTACCGCTTGAGCCACATCCCCAGCCCCCTCTGTCTGGTTCTTTATCACCTGTTTGCTTCAAGCCCAAACACCCAAGCTCCCACTCAAGGCTGAACACTCAACCCCCCACTCAAGGCTAAACACTTAACTCCCCTTGTGCGAACAAGGCAGCTTGCAGACCCAGAGACCCCATTAGAATTTGGCTATAAAAACTCCCTCCTGCTGGGCCCCTCTCTCTTGCTCTCTCTCTCTCTCTCTTGCTCTTGCTCTCTCCTTCTCCATCTCTCCTCTTCTCTTCTCTTTCCTCTTTCTTCTCTCTCTCTCTCTCTCTCTTTCTCTCTCTCTCTTTCTCCTCTTTTGTACTGCTGCAATAAAGCTCTCTTGGTCGCTCCAAGTGTTGTGGTCACTTTCCTTTCATCTTGCAAATTCATTATGTTTATAATGCCTGTAACATTTAAAATAGAATATATTGTTTGGCATAAAGTATTTTCTAAAACTCACAATCACTTTTAGAAGATTGTATTCACATAAAAGCAATTGATTTATGAATTTAATACCACATATCAAACATATATGGTAGTGTTTCCTCCAAAAAAATATCAACTAAGCAAGACTGGATACGATAGTCTCAACCTCTGTAAATATCAGTGCAATGGACCTTAATTCTGTTAAAATATTCTAATTCACACTGTTTACTAAATCAATTGGAATTTCCCTACAATTAAAAAAAAAAGCTGCTTTATTAAAATCTCATCACTATGAACTGCTGTTCTCAACACCCTCTCCTACCTCACATCTTGTAAGGTGACCTGTAGATTTTAATCAACCTATGGAGAATTGTAGGTAAACCTCCTCTTTAAATTCAGAATTAACATTAATAAGCAAACTTTTCTCTTTGTAAAACAAACAATCTTGAGCATAAAGAAATCAATTTTGAGGGAAAGACAGCTCATTCACGATCCTTTCCTGGGGAGGAGCTGTGGAAGGTGGGCATGCTGGGCACACACCACAGACGCACCTGGTGCCCAATGGGAACCGGCTTCTCAGATCCTGTTCCTCTGGGGCCTGGCACTACCTGCCTGGGTGGCTCTGAACCTTCACACCTCTGAGGGCCAGAGCGGACACCCTGGCCTTGGGATGCGGACTGCAGGCCGGAGTGACTAATATGGTCAAAGCCACACCAGCTGCTGCCCAGGGAGACCTCAGAGCAGTTCCCCGTCTTCCCTCATGCAGCCAACGCCCGTTGCTCAAGGCAAACACCAAGTGCTTTATGAGCACCACGGAGAGGCAGGGAGGTGGCCCTTTGTGTGGAAGGGCGGGCTGGGCAAGTTGCTGGAGAGGTCTAACTGGAGCCTGCGCCTCCTCCTGCAGTCAGCTAAACCCCGTGTCAGAAGTCAGAGGCTTCTGGCACCCACCAGCTCCCTTCCCTCCTCGCTCTGCAGGGACCTCTCCTTTTACACTGCCTTCTGGACGTGTCACTTCTGACACCTTGCTCTTTGGTTGTCTGCCCAGGAGAAAAGTGAATGGAAAACGAACAAGTGTTTGGAGAGTTGTCATGTGTTAACTGGGCTTACTGTAAAATGCATGTTTCCATCAAGGACACGACAGGTATTATGAGAGGGAACAATTCAAGTCATCTATTAACAACGGTAGAATGGTGGGAGTCAGCCGGACCCACAGGCCTTCTCTGTGCTGGGTGGCACTGTGAGGACAGAGCACTCTTTTGCTTGTGTGCACTGCCTGCTTTACCTCCCCAGGGAGTGGGGCACCTCAAAGTGGGGCTGAGTCCCAGGGCCATCTCTGCACTGCTGCGGGATGTGGACACACTGTGAAATCCTCGTCAAGACTGTCCTGATCTTTTAAAGTAGAGGTTTATTTTAAAAATTAATATTTTAAAAATCGTGTGTTGTTCTGAATATTTGCATTTTTTCAGGAAACATCTAGGGAGCATCAGCTGATGGGTAAGGGCCCAAAGTCCAGGGCACGGGGTATTGTTGCTGAGTGGTCAGGGCGCCGTGCAGGGGAGCTCGTGCCTCTAGCCAGGGAGGTAGGGCAAGCAGGCGGTGGAGGACTGGAGCCAGTCAGGAGAGCAGCAGTGACCTCACAGGAAGGGCATGGGTCTGGCAGCAGGTTTGGCATTGACAGGAGGGTGTGTGGAGGAGCCGTTCTTCAGCTGCGCTCTCGACCGTGTGGCCAGGAGAGAGAAAAACTCAACCTTGAACGCGGTCTACCAAGAGCAAACCTAGGTTGAGCCAGGATAAGACACTGAGCGCCAGCTGAAGACCCTGACGACCCCCACGTGCGGGGAGTCACCCTTGGGGAGGAGCGCCACACGCTGGCGCGAGCGTACCTGGCAGCCCCTCCACCACCTGACCACAGCACTTCTCATTTACAAAGCGGTGAAGAGTTCAACACAGCAAGAAAGTCTGAAAGACAGAAAACACAGGAGTACCCACCTATTGATGATGAGATACACGCGCCCATTGACTTTGGCGTGACTGTGGCGAGAGGCAGAAGCACAGGATGCAGAAGGAGAGAGAGAGAGAGAAAGAGAGAGAGACGTTAGGCAGAGCAGTGTGGGGGCTCTCCTGGCCTCCTGGTCACAGTGCCATCGCCTGCAAGGGTTGGCGTCAGGAAGGACAGTATGAGCAGCAAGAGTGGCAGCAGCACTGCCAGACACACAGGAATACTGCTGAGGACACAGTGGCCCTGGCCACCGCACTGCCCGCCTCATACACCCGGGAGGACCATCCCTCAGACTTCTCAAGACAGCTTGTCAAAGGAAAGATGAAAGATTAAAGTTTGCTCCTTTCCCAGAGTTAAAAGAGTCCTACTAGGTAACCACAGTCAACTTATTTTCTCTAAGATCTTCTAAAATTTAGGTTCAAAAAAGACATTGCTTTGTTTCTATGTGCAAGACAATATTTTCTAATATGGATCATGGATATGTTGCAGTGACACAAGAGTAATGGGTCTCTAAGGAACTTTACTAAACTATTATCAGTTACACATTATGTAATCAGCATATCATTGCTATGCTATAACATCATATTATTGTTGATAGACAAGTGAAAAGACATTCCAGAGGTTCCTCACTTAGAGTTGATAATAGTTTCTTCTTGTGTACATCATAAAACCGTTTTCAGAAAGCTAACTTTGTAAAGTCTGTAAGGCTAAAGAAAACAAATTCAGCTTTGTACACACACACACACACACACACACACTGGGAATGGTTAGTTGGATTTTGATAGAAACAACACTGTTGTGGTCAATTTCATGACTGCCAGGGGTTGGTTATTCACAACTTGTGGGCCATGTTTTTTTTTTTGTAAAGCATCCAGAGAGGTGAGAGTACAGAGCAAGGCTTGAATCCTGACTCTACAAACAATTCTGTTTCTCTACCACTTTAATTTTAATTAAAATTGTTCAGGATTTGGGGACAGAAATACTTTAAGGTAAAAATTATTAGTGAGAAAAATACTGCAATATAAAAGAGTTGCTAAAATATTTATATATATTATTCAAAATTAACTTTTGGGGGCTTTTCTATTGAACTCTGCATGAAACCCCCAAATACCACCTGGAGTGAGTTCCTTAATTTCCCTAAGGCCCTTTTCCCACAGCCCTGAGAATGAAATCCCATGAGCTGCAGCCTCAGGGCTGTGTTTATACACCCTCTTCTCGTTCTCCCAGTTTTCTTTACAATTCACTGGTGAGGGGACACTCAGGGTGAGGCCAAGCCACGAGGATGGGAAGTAGGATGGGGTGATGGTCCTTGAGGTCTGCTGTCCCTCTTGTCCTGTGAGAAGGGCAGGAGCTGGGAGGCTGAGGCCAAGGACACATGGGGCAGTGGCCCCCAAAGCTGCGTAGTCAAACCCAGTGCGCACAGGGACAGGAAGCTCCGTGCAGCACTCAGTTCTCACTTGCGACCTGAATGAGCGAGAACACTGAGGAGCCACGTTGTCCTCTGCAAAACCATGCTCCTGAAATCTTGCTGAAAATCTGGAAGAAGGTGGCCCATGTCTCTATGTGACCAGGCAACAGAAGACCAAGGCACGTGGCAATGGTAAGGCAAGAAGAGCCCTGCAGTCTGGGGGGTTTTGATGAGAAGCAAGCGCTCATGGGAGGGACGTGAGGCATTTAGAGGAAAAAAATCTAAGCATGTGATCAGCAAAGACGGATGATGACATCTCTTCCACAAACATGCAAATCTTCCAAAAGGTTTTCTTAATTATTGGAAGTGACTTTTGAAAACAAATGGCCTTACAATTAAATAAAGCCAGTACATAGCTGGAGTTGAATATCTAATACTGGTTTCACCCATAGTTATCACATCCATGTCAAAAAATTGTCCCGCTATCATTTCTCTAATTATTGACAGCTGTTAGTTTTTTACACGAGTACTCTTTCCAAATTTTAAAACTTAGTGTGATTTTTCCTGTCAGCAAGACTACCTATGGGGTCCCCAAACTTCTAATAACATCTTTATTTTTCCTAGTGTCTGATTATCACTAAAGGAAGTAAGTACACAGCACACAGGGATTCTGAGCCCCTGACCCCGCTCATGAGGTGGGAGATGGTGCAGGACATATTGGTGGGTGAGACCTCTTGGCCTTCCTGGTTGTTAGGATGGTGGTCAGGAACACCCTCAGAATGAAACAAAGTAAATCTTAGTTCAAATCAGGAAAGCAATCTACTGATCATAAGGATTATATCATATTTTCATCATTTCATAAAAGTGTTTCAGGTGTATCCATAATTCTAGCTCCTGTTATAAAGTGTTGGAAGGTTAAAATTTCCTGAGAATAGAATGAAATCCTACTTCATTTGCTACTGATGTGCTCATTTCTCCCCTTGAACTCAAAGAGCTAAAGGGAATTTTCACCTGGGGCTGGAATACTCTTTTTTTTTTTTTTTTTGTACCAGGAATTGAATCCAAGGGCACTTAACCAGCAAGCCACATCCTCATCCTGCCTCAGCCTCCTGAAAGGCTGTGATTACAGACCGGCGCCACGGCCGGCTCTGTGTACTCCCACTCAAATAGCACCTTTCTCCCTTCGAGCTCAGCAAGTGTTTTCTAGGGAACTGAATCACGGGCCACACCGGAGCCCCTGAGGAAAAACACCATTAGCATCCATCAGGAGGGTGCTTGTCATTTTCCTGTGGCGGGATGGTGGCTTCCACAGACCTTGGTAAGTGTGCCCTGTCGACCATTGTAAAGCGCTGACCATCACTGGAAGGGAGAGCAGCAGCCCAGGTGGGTCTCAGGGTTGCCTAGGGACGAGGGAAGCACCTCTCTGGCGGCTCACCTGTAGATGGTGTTGTCCTCCTTCCTGGGGATGGACTTGAGGTCTGTGAGTTCTAGGAAGCGGTCGTGGAAGTAGTGGAGGTGCAGAATGCACACCAGCAGGAAGGAGGTGGGGATGAAGATGCGCGTGAACAGTTCTGCCACAGTGAACTGCTTCAGGCCCAGATCCTCTAGCCTGGAAGGGACAGAGCAAGAGCAGGAACCTTCTTAGCAGCGAGGACACCGTCTCCTCCTCCGCCACACCAGTCTCTTTCTCTCACCACTGGCTGCACCCCTCTCCCACCCAGTCCACCAGTCCAACCCGCCAGCCTTCACAATGGTCCATGTAACCTGGACGGGGGCATCTTCCTCAGTTCAGCCTCAGTCCCTCTTGAATGGATCCTTTAGTATCTCTGGATGCTGAAGTACCTCCAGAACTCAGCTTTGAGTCTCCTCTCTAACTGTACCCTCCCCTGGTGATCTCACCTAGTCCCTGGGTTTGTACACCAGCTGCACGCCCAAGACCAAGTGTCCACGATGGTACGGCCTTCTCCTGGGTCCTCTCCTACCCAAATCTCTACTGCAGCATGCCTGCTCATAGGTATTTCACATTTGATGTTTTCAAAACTGTTCTTTGTCTTCCTCTTCTTTGTGAAGCTGTTCTCCACCTCCCTGACCCCCATTCCTGGTCTTCCTCGGACCAGTAAGTGGCCTAACGGTGGACCCTGCATGAAATCCAGAAGTTGGAAGTCCCTGATTCTCTCCTTTACATCACAACCAGGGCGTCTGCTTCAGCCTCCTCTGTACTTCCCAAATCCGCCTTTTCTGCCATCTGTCTTTGCCACCTTAGATTCCAGGTGGACCATGGTCACTTCTCCCAGGACCACGGCTACTGCCTGTGAACTGTCTTATTTCTATTTGCGTTGCGCTTTCTGTCAGTCAAGGATCTTTCAAGACTTAAAAAAAAAAAAAATTCCAATAAGAGGAAGATAGCAGCCACCTGCCCTGAGCCAGCACCCCTCCCCTCCCATTCCTCCTGGCTCCCGCAGGGAGCTTCCTTCCCCTCCCTGAAGGCCCCAGGCCAGCCCTCTTCCCCCTCAGGGCCTCTGGCAGGAGTGCTCTGCCCGCAGACCCAGCTCAGTCCTCCTGAGAAGGTGTCTCTGATCAGCATCAGGGTCAGAGGAACTCAGTGAGGCAGGCGGGGCCTCTCCGCTCAGGCTCCCCTCCCTGGGCCTGCTGTCCCCTTCACACACTCATCATCCCCCACCCTTCACCAGCTGGGGATGAGCTCACCCACTGCAAGGTTTTCATTTTCCTTCTGCTAGAATAGATGCTGCCAGGGCGCGAGGGCCCTTCTGGCTCCCTGCTGCATCTCCAGGCCCAGGGCCCCTGGCAGAGGGGGCCTGGAGGAGCCTTGGTGAACACACCCTGAGCATGGCCGTCTAGCCCCGTGGGGAGCCTTTCCTTTCAGAGCTCCTCCTTGCCACTCAGGACACAGTGGCAGCATCACCTTTTGCCAAAATCTTCCCTAAAGGTGTTTTTTTGAACAATATGCATTCAAATCACCACCCTCTCCCTCCCTCCCGTCACTTCCACATTCCATTGTCACCCAGATCACTTACTTTTCTTTTTTCAATCCGGTCATGTTTTGCCACAGGCCTGGGAAGTTTTCAAATTGATATGTGTATATAAAGATAAGCACCAGCATAGTGTAAATAACCACGGACATCCAAAAATATTTTAGAATTTTCCTCCACCATTCATAGTGCACCTGGGAATTAGACATTGAAAAGCCAAGGAGATGAAGAGCAGTTAGAGGAAAACCCACAAAAGTATTTGGTTTCTTTAGGACAAATGATCATAGACAAAAAAAAGGGTCTGAAAATACAGTTCCTTCATTTTTAGTTCTTTCACATTTTGTTTCTTATTTCAGTTGGTGGATCTGGGGGAAAAGCTCTGATCCCTGTTCTACTGGCCCTGCGGCCTTCAGGAGTCTCAGGATGCAGTGTTTGATTTCAGCCATGACTAGTGTGATCTGTTTGTGGGGTTATAACAAGCAAGAGCTCTACAAGGAGGCTCATCTCTTCCTGGGATGGGTAAGGGAACTGAGGTCAAGCAAGCCGTCCACCCACCTGGTACAAGGCCACACAGAACAGGAACAGCACCATGTAGATGATTTTGTACATGACGATTTTGCCCTCGAAGCTGACGAAGAAGAACATGCCACCACACACGTAGATCCAGTACTTGATGAACATGGCCACCACCAGGTTGCCCAGCACCTTCATGATGTCCTGGTCTTCGTCCTCGTCCTCTTGCTCCTCCTCCTGTGCTTCCTCGTCCTCCTCCTTCTCTTTGGGCTCTCCTTCCACCTGTATGTCTTGAAGGTCCTCGTCTGAAAGGCAGAACACGACATCATTATCCTTCATTGGTTATCTGACCAGCACCTCACTTTGGCCGTGTGACATTCATGGGACATAGGAGCATGCAATTTATGAGTTACTATATGATTTAGGCTGTTCTGTTATTTAATCATTTAAATAACTTAAAGTTTAAGAGTTGAAGCCAAATATGATCGATTTAAATTAGATTTACAGAACGATTACAGTTTAAGGCTAAAGCAATTTTATGTATTGGAATTAAGAACACTTCATCTAGCTTTAAAATTCTGTAAGATGCAGGATTCATCTCTGGGTTAGCAAGGATACCTATATTTGAGTAATTTATTCAAACAACCAGTAACTCAGAGTGCAATCAGACCAATGGTTGATCTCAAATGAACCATTTACCAAAATCAACTGGTTGATCATTGTGCTAAGCACACATTGGAACTCATATAGCAAGATTTGAGCCTTGTAGACAGACTTGTTGCTGGAAAACACCTCGGTGATTAGGGCTAGTTATATAAACATGGCGGCTGGCCTGTTTCCTGGCGGTGCCTGGGTTAAGGTGCAGCCCAGCTGCTGTGAATGCTAACAGCTGGGGTTGGTCCAGAGCTCTGAGGGCAAGTCCTTCCCAGTTACCAACACAGCAGGCCCCAAACCACAGGGATGCTAAAAGAAGCTGTCTTCTTCCCCCCACTCCTCCCTCCCTCCCTTTCATTTACTTGGTTGTGTATTATGTTCAGAAAAGGAGAAGATCTGAATTTAGACAATGCCAGTCAGTTTCTAGGTTCCATTTTCATTGTCCTTGGAGAAACCATGCAATTTTGGGGACCCTTAGTTTCTTCTGTTGGGAATCACTTTGGGGAGATCAAATGAACAGTTTTTAAAAGGTCTCTGTGAACTCTTGTGTGTTCTTTGAAAGTTACACATTATAATGTTGTATTTATCGATTCAAGTTCAAATCTGGCTTCCATTAATCAGGGTTTGTTTTGGTAATGGCTTTATTGAGATGTAATTCACATACCACGCAATTCAGCCACTTAAAGTGTATCACTCAAGGACTGGGTGTAGCTCAGTGTGTAATTTCCGACGTATTTGGGGCTCTTTATACCTTTGCTGAGCTCAAGAAGTTGCCGTCACACCCTGTCCACACAAATTTACCTTTCTCTTCATTTTCCTGACTTCCAATTTTGACTTCAGACAGAAGAGCTTCCTTTTCCTGAAGAGCTTTCTGCTCTGTGAGGTGCTGCCTCAGCAGGAGCCAAAAGGTGATAGTGAACAGAATCTGGGACCAGAGAAGAAGCAGAACAAGAATTAAGCACAAATCTGCAGCATAAACACACTTCTGCAAATACACCGTTTTCTGCACTGTCCCAGCGGGAGCACGACAAATCACCACCACGGGTGGGACGGTCAGTGTGCCTTTGGGTTTGACAGAGCCGCTGCTGCTCTGCAGTGGGGACTCTCAGGCAGGTGTCCAGGGCCAGCAGAATCTTCAGCACTGTGTGGCCCTGGGAGGAGAAGAGCCAACGAAGGCACGGCCACCTGGCAGGACAGCAGCGCCGGCACCTGGGTCCCTCCTGGGGCTTGTCCTGGAGTGTCTGCCCGAATGTAAGGTTGCTGCCAAGTGAGGGGAGGGTCACTTCTCCTGTGACACACCTTTGACCCCCATAGTTATCCTTAAGAATGCTGCAGATGGGAAAAGAAAGTTCACCCCAGAAAACACGCCCCTTATTACTCTCACTCCCTCTGGTGCTGAAGCAAGAGGGGACCCCTGCGCCCACACTACCTATCAGCATTTTCCTGAGAACTGAGGGAAAAGGTGACCCATGCCTCACTCTTAGGGAATCTGGAACTTGGTTCCTGGTAGGGTTTGTTTTGGTAATGGCTTTATTGAGATGTAATTCACATACCACACAATTCACCCACTTAAAGTGTATCACTCAAGGACTGGGGTGTGGCTCAGTGTGTAATTCAGTGGGTTTTGGTGTAGTCACAAGGTTGTATGACCACCGTTGTAGTTGTAATCGATTTGGTTTTACATATATGTGTATGTGTATATATATATATATATATTTTTTTTGATACTGGGGATTAAACCCAGTGCCTCACTCATGCTACACAAGCACTCACCACTGAGCAATCCCTCCATTGAAAATTATCCAATCTCCTCAAAAAGAAGCACCCGAAGAGGGACCTCCTCTTCTTCCTGTGACTCTAGCCAACCAGGGATTTCCTTTTTGCTGTATGGATTGGCTCAACCTGGACATTTTAAGTCAAGGCCTTGTGTAGCCACCTCTCTCAGCAGTGTAGGTGTATCCTGTTGTGGCACGCATGGCCCTGCGTTCCTCCTCCTTACTCCACACTGCTCCACGCACGGGTGCACGCTCTGCATGCACACGCGTGGGCTGATGGGCACGTGGACACTTTGTTTCATAGCTGTGATGGCGAATGCTGCCTGACCACTCAGGCCTCTGGGTTTCTGTGCGCCTGTGTCTTCCATTCTCCCAGGTGAGGGCCTCGCCCTGGAATTGCTGGTCTCATGGTGATTCTGTGTTTGACTTTTTAAGGAAAAATGAATGCTGAACGTTTTCCAGGTGCTGCACCAACTTCATTCCCACCAGCAGCGCACACGTCCCGTTTCTCCACGTCCTCAGTCACACCTGTTGTCTTTTATTATAGCCTTCCTGGTGGCTGGGAGTGATAGCTCTCATAGTAAGCTTTTTTGTTTGTTTGTTTGTTTTTTACATAAGAAGGCTTTATTTGCAGGGGAACAGGAATTTAACCAAAGGGCCCAGATCCCATGTCATCAGCAGCCTCCTCAGACTCCTTCTCGTCTCTCCTCTCCTCTGCTGCAGCAGGAGCTGCTGAGCCAGGGGTGGCATAAACAGCCACAGCCACAGCCCCTCCACGAGCACACTGGCGGTTTGCCAGTACCGGGCTAGGACAGTGTTTTGCCATGCAGCTCACTGATGACCTTGCTGAACAGGCCATCATCCACCTTGAGGCCCATGCTCTCTAGGATCTTCTGATGGCCCTGGTGCAAGGGAGGAGGTGCCCCTGAGGGTGGCCAGCAGATAGGAGTGACAAAGTGCATGTCAGCGGTGGTGGACTGGCCTCCCGTGTGCACCCTCGGTGTGGCAGGGAGCCTCATCGTAAGCTTTTAATAAATATTTGCCAAAGAAATTAAAGAATTAAAAAGGCAAATGAACAAGTCATAGCTTTGTGAATATACTAGAACCCACTAAATCGCACACTATTTTTTGGGGGGATTCTGGGGATGGATTTTCACTTAGGGTAACTGCCCATTTCACGCTCCGTGGGGTGTTCACATGAACAGGCAGCAGGAAGTCCTCCTGAGCATTACCAGGACCTTAGGAAGTCAAGAGCCAGACCACCTGCGATTCTGAAAACCTGGCATGAAAATCCTGGAGGGCGCCAGGAGTTGACTACGGCCATAAACGGAAAGGAATCTTCTTCTGTCACCTGTGTTCAGAGAGGTCAGCAGCAGTGAGGCCAGGTGGGGCACCTGTGCTGGGGAAAGCGTCCTGGAGGCCAGGCTTTAGAAGTGGGGTCAATGCCATCTGGGGGCCAGGAAGAGACAGGCTCGGGAAGCTGCAGACCATGCTATCTATCTGGGGGCCTGCAGAGCTTCTAGGATGGAGGCCTGATCCTTCCTTTCTCTCCTTATGCACACCCTGACTCACCAGCACTCTGTAAAGTGTGCTTAGAAAAGTGTTTGGAAGACATCGTTATGTTGGAGGGTCAATGAGCCTGTGTCATTAATGTCTTGGACAAAATCTTGCTTTTTTTCCCTTTTTTTTAAACCCCCAGTTTCATTAAAATATAAATACAGATCCTAGCTTCCAGGAATTAGTGTTTTTTTAAAAAAAATATTAACAAATTTAATCACCAAACAACATTTCCCTTCAAAGAATTGTTAATTCTAATTAGCCAGGAGGGAGCTCAGCTAGGGAGTTGGTGCTGTCTGTTGTCTTTGAGAGTCTGAATCAGGTTGTATGAATTCACACAGTCAGAAGGATGCGAGTTTGAATTTCTCTATGATCTTGAATTTCTCTTATAGAAGACAACTGGATTACCCGTGGAGTGAGCTGTGCCTGTGGTTGGGAGGAGCCCAGGGAGGAGGTGGAAGGAAAGCCCCCAGGTAAAGGTACTGGTAGGAGGCTCTTCCACAGGACCAGCAGGGACAGAAGTGGAGTGGGATGAGTGACGGGAATGTCTGGCCCACACACAGGAGATGTTGTCTCACCTCTCCTGCGGGCTTGCACCTGTCAGGAAATTTTTCTTTTACACACTAGCCTTTTGTCAAAAACTGTTACAGGATCAATCTCTGCCCAGTCCAGTCAGCCCCTGTCTACAGCCAGCTGCCTTGGATAGGGGGTGTCTGGTGACCTTCACATGGTAGCTCCCGCAGAAGGTGAAGTTCATGGGCGGTACCTCAGCCCTCTCCAGAGACAGAGATCTTCCTCATCTTGTGGAGAGCACCCTTCAAGGTTCATGGAATGTTCAGACCTGATTGATTTACTACCTCAAGACACAGTCATCGACCAGAGATGTGTATGGCACCTGAAAGAATGATCAAGGCTTGCCGTTGGAGAAAAATGCCCGTTTATTGAGGCAGCTCTGCATATTTATAGAGCCAGGGGTGGTCTGACAGTTGGCATGGGGTGCTTTTTGATTGGTGGGTAAGGATCAGGTGAGCCATCAGGGCTAGTCTGATTGGTGGGTAAGGATCAGGTGAGCCAGCAGGGCTCACCATTGGACAGCTCTTCTTGAGAGATGGGGAAGTTAGTCTTTGCAGCCGGGGCGACTCCCAATAGCACCTACCATTTTGTTAACAAAAAAAGATTATAAATGGGGTCTCCCAACCTTTTGAAATAAAAACTATTGAGACAGCCATTGAAAATAAATGAGCCAGGAAGAGATTATGAATGTCCTGACCACAGGTGAAGGCAAATCAGTAGAGAGAGAGAAAAAAAAAAACAAGTGTCATATTTAATTTTTGCTACTAAGAATGTGTGTTAGGACAGGATTGGAGTAAACACATTGTTAATAATAGATGCTTGTCTAAAATAGCAATGTGCTAATAAGTCAATTTTACAAATTAATAATCTATCCAAGAAAATCCTCTAGCCCCTGGAGATATTTTATATTGTATTTTTCTGTTCACATTGTATGTTCCTATTTTCATATCTAATTGCTATCATATGCTAAAAATAGCTTATACTCTAATTTTTCTGAGTAGAAAGTGCTGCTATTTATAAGCTAATAACATGGTGTACTACATGTTAAATTACAGCAGCCTCTCAGCAATGTAAACTATTTCTCACAGGTTCGTGTCTGTTAATTTCTGCAAAGGAGTGATCATCTGGAGCCTAGTGTTATAAGGTTTGCTTCATGTGATGATTGTGATTAGCGCAGTTCTGTTTTCTTGATTTTCCATTCACTTACCTTTGAAGCAAGCTCTCCTGGCTCTTTCTTTTCTAGAAAACCGGGGACCTTTTTGATTTCTGGAAGTTCAAAGCTCCAGATGTACTGCAGCACCAACAGCAGGTTCCCGTAGACAACCATGAAGGGTGAGCTGATCATGGCGTACTTCCTCCTGTTGCGGATCATCCACAGGGCGCAGGACCAGATGAGCAGCACGAAGGTCAGCCAGCTGTGGTAGGTGATGCTCCAGGCCTGGGGTGGAGGGAGGCACCGTGTGAGCGCAGGAGAGCACATAGTGGACTGAGGGGGAGAGGCCGACCTGGGCTCAGGCGCAGGGCAGAGGCCAGGGAGAGGCACTGCGAGGGCCCTGCCCGCGAGCCTCCAAGGCAGTCAGAGGCCCTGCGTGGTGCCAGCGTGCGCCCTCTGCCACCAACCTCTTCATTTTCACCCTATTTTGCAGCGTCACAAACAACTGTAAGGAGCTATCTAAAATTGTTAGTAAAAATACATGATTAAAATTAAATTAAAATTTATTAAAATTAAGTTAGTAACTGACAACTACAATGGTCTGAATTATTTTCCTGAAAATATTCTTACGCAAGAGCGTTCACCAAAGATTAGGTGACAGCTGCCGCGTTTGCACTCTATGCACACCGAGTGAATTTGTATTCAGTAGTGTGTTTGAAGCCTCACACGCATACACACTCATACACACACACACATACACTGTGCCAAGCAGATAGAATGTTGCCATTTTTGTATGATCCAGGAAAAAAGATATCATAATTGCAGATTTTTCTCCCCCACACTGTACTCATTTGAGAGGATGAAGGAAAAAACAAGTTAGGAGGTTCATTAGAAGATGTCCTGGCTGGGCAGGTGCACATGCCTGTAATCCCAGTGGCTTGGGAGGCTGAGACAGAAGGATCACAAGTTTGAGGCCAGCCTCAGTAATTTGGTGAGGCTCTAAACAACTTAGTAAGACCCTGTCTCAAAATAAGAAATAAAAAGTGCTGTGGATGTGGCTCAGAGGTAAAGAGCCCCTGCATCAAATGAAAGAAAGAAAAGAAAGAAAGGAAGGAAGATAGGAAGGAAGGAAGATAGGAAGGAAGGAAGGAAGGAAGGAAGGAAGGAAGGAAAGAAAATAAAAGAAAGAGTTAGTTCTGGCCTTTTAATGCCCAGGCAGTCCACTCTGGGTTTCCGTAGCTAGGAAGAAGAACCCATGTTGTGCTGTTTACCATGCTGGGTTTCAGGGCAGTTGGGCCGTTCGGCCTCTGCTTTATATTCCTTAGTCAACACGTGACTCATCTCACGGGCTCCTTGGGCCTTTGCCTCCACCTGTGATCCAGAAGTCACAGAAGCCGGGCTCTTTCACCCAGCAACACTGTGGCTGCACTCAGACGGAACACAGCACCAGAGAGGGGCACACCTCGAAGAAAGATCTTGCTGTGTTTACAGCAGGCTTTTTCCCTACTGAGTAATAACACGTGTATTCAAAGCTGCTTTTGTTTTAGCTCTGTTTCTTTGGGGGGAAAAAAGACAAACTTACATAACTCAGAGAGAAAAAATAGTACCTTTTTGAGTTCAGAACTGTAAATTGTATTTATTATAATAATTGATTACTTGATGTTTAATGATCAAGAAATTTGCTGCAATTTGAGAGGCAGATATACATAAATTGTCATAAACCAGGCAAAGGCCCTGAATTCCACTTCAAGGGTGGGGCTAGGCTGACGATGGTAGCACCTGACTGTCATCCTAGCTACCTGGGAGGCTGAGGCAGGAGGATTGCAAGTTCTGGACCAGCCTGGACAACGTAGTGAGACCCTGTGTCAGTGGTCAAGTGCCCTTGGGTTCAATTCGCCGTGCAGAAGCAGCAGTGACAGGTGTGTGGGGTGGAGCACTGCGGCTCCTGCCTCCTCTCCCTGCCCAGTGTCCTTACTGGAAGCTGCCGGTTGCCCAGGAGCTCGTCGCTGCCTGGCAAAGCTGTGTCTGGGCGTGGTTTCCCCAGAGCCATCAGCGTTTTCATTTTCTGTCACTGCAGGTGGCATGGGGTCTCCCCACTGACCATAGATTGTGGAAGAGTTGCCTCTTAAATAGGAGCATTCAGTTTCTCAGAACTAAATCAGATTTTCCAAGAAAGTTTTGTTTTTAAGAAAGAGAGTGACCAGAAGCCCTTCATCCTCTGTTAGCAGAGGCGCTGCTTCTGAAGCTGACGGCTGGGGACCAGGTGACAGCGACAGGCGTCAAGGACCCTGGCACCTGGAGGAGGCTCTCGGGGCCCTGGGGGTGACTGCAGCCCAGATGGAGTGGAGCCTCCCCTCGGCCAAGGAAAGACGTGCCTCTAGATAGAGAGGGTATTAATATTACGGAGAGGCTGAGAGAGTTGAAGAGGACACAGTTTTGCAGTCTATGGTATAAAAATCCCATGAAAAATGAACGCGGCCAACCACTGTCAACCCGGCACTGGGAAGACTGAACCCCAGCCTCTGGCAGCACCACTCACACGCACCATCATGGCGATGAGGGCGCAGATGTAGCTCTGCTTCATGATGAACTGGAACACGGAGACCATGGCGTGGACCTTGACACTCCTTTTCTCCTCCTGGCTCCTTTCCTCCTCAAATTCTTCTTTCTCATCGTCTTCTTCCTCTTTCTTCTCTAGATGGACAAACACGTTACGTAACTCTCCATGCCAATGCCCGACATCTGTGTGAGTGTCCCCAGGGGCAGCACTCCTGTGGCACGGCCTTTAGGTGAGACTCGAGGGGTTGTTCCCAACTAACAGAGCCCCTAGAATTCTCACCATTCTGTCAGCCCTGCTTGGCCAGGGCCAAGGCACCCAGCACCCAGGACTCGGTGGGAAGACCATCTCCACAAGGTGGGCAAAGACAGACCCTAACCTGGCCCTGAGCTCCCTGCTCCTGTGTTCCTGCCCCGTGGATGCCCTCCCCCGCATGTGGTGGGCTTCCAACAACAAGGCCACTCCTGAAGACTCTGGTCTAAGTCGTGGCTTTTGCTTTGGATGCTTTCTTTCTAGATTGAAAGGGTGACAGATCTCACTCTTGTTCTGAGGGAAGCCAGCCCCAGGGGTAAGTGCCCCTGGAGAGCCCTGGGTGGCGAGCACCTGAGGTCTCCAGCCAATAGCTACACAGCGGGGCTTGGACACAGCCCCCCAGGGGAGCCTCCAGCAAGATGGCAGCCCCTCACTGCAGGCTCAGGAACAACCCCAGGTGCGGGAACCAGCCCCTCACCCCGGACCCTGACCCAGACAGGCTGCAACACTAAATGTGTTAAATCATGAAGCAAATGTCCTTCCTTTTTGTTAAGTGGGCTGCACATAAATAGGACTTCTGGCAGCAAGAAGAGAAAGCACAGACCCTTGAAAACTCAGGGACCACCTACACGCCCGTGCACGACCCCGAACGAGACATGCGCCCTGTGTGGCTGGTTACCTGTCGAGTCCTCGGAGGGCTCCCACCGGTACTGGGGGGTGGAGTACAGATCAGTCTTGGCAGGGCCATTCTCTAAGGGCAGGCTGGGGTGGATGGTGTGGTAGTCCACAGGGTTGCCATTCACCGTCACAAGCAGGCCCTGCGGGGAGCATGGGGAAGGACATCTGTGACCACAGGGTGGGTTGCAGTGTGGACCTACTTCCTCCAACCCATCCTCCATGCACAACCCCCAGTGACAAGCTGACTGAAAGCCAGGTGCCACGGTCAATGACACGTATTTTAGCAGGAGGAATCAGGTACCATCTCTCCAAACCTGATCTCAGAGTGACCAGGTGAAATGCACACCTCGTGGCACTCCTGTGAACAGTGCGATGCACGCCTTGTCCTCAGGATAGCCTACAATTGTCCAGGGGGCCTTCCTGGTCTGGGCTGACCTCTTCAGGTTCAGCTCTTGCCACTGCCCACCTCCCAGCCACCCCCGGTTGTGTGGTCCTTCATGCCTTCCCTGCCCAGCCCAGAGAGTGGGTCCTACCCACTCTCCACACAGCTCTGCACAGGGCAGCTGCAAAAGTCCTTCTGGGCCCAGGTGACACGCTCCCTGCTGGGGTCTCTACCCAACTGCAAGGCTGAAATTCACTAAGTGCCAACACTGGGATTTTCCCCGTCTGTCACTGTGGCATTATAAGTTCTGAGATAAACATATAAATACACGTATGTGTATCTATGAACATGTAAAACTTCCTTTTTAAAATTATTTAATAATTAGTAGAGCTACAGAACAAAATGCTTAAAACACAACCCCGCAAGCAAGGCTTTAAAAAAGTCTAAATATATTTTGTATTAATATATCCAATCTCATGAGTCAATATTTCACAGCAACAAATCAGATATAATTTCTGCAAGAAAAAAAATTAAAAGCATACAGAGGTTTCATGGATCTTTAAAATATACTGAAAGGAGGTTATTTCATTTGTCACTTTTAAATCACTCACACACACAAAAAGGGTAATTCTAAAGAGGTACTAACATCAGATGGTTTGTAGTCGTCTTGGGTCATGGATAAAAGCTGCAAAAAGCAAAGCAGGACAGCACGTTAGCAGGTGAGCAGAAGCTGACCGCATCCACAAGGCCCCACACCCGCTCTCCAGCCCGCCGAGTGCTAGTGTGCGTGGAAACTGCCATGTGAGTACAAAGGGCCACTGCCCGAGCTGGACACTGCTCATCACAACCATGTTGCAGCATCTGAAGTTTGCTTAGGACCCTGACCACAAACAGCCAACTGTGAATCATGCACTTTCAAAAACGACCTTTTTCAAGTGTTCTGTTCTAAGAGAATACACTGCTTAGGCTAAGCTCTGGAACCCTCTGGGACATCTGCAGAATCCTGAAACTGCTTTCCAAGAAATGCAAGTTTCTTACTACAAAACAGTTAGATGTATACTGAGATTTGAGATTACTTTGGGTTTATAAATTGTCAAAAAGGAAATCATCATGATATGACCAATCTTTTAACTGCACTAGTGCTAGGTGACTGGGGCTTCCCCAAACAACAAATAGCACGGCGATGAGGTAGTTAGGTTTTGGAGTCAGGACTCCTCTGCAGTCTTGGAAAGCTCGAGGGTAGGGGGAGATTATGTGGCGTCTGCCACTGTCTCGCACTAGAAATTCAAATTGAGGCATGTAAAAAAAATTGTTTATTTATCAACTCAATAAAAATTGAAAAGCCCATTATATTTTAAGAAAATTGCTCAAATAGCTTTCAGACACCATTTTTATTTTAGAAGGCCATATACTGAAAAGACTGTCGCGGTTCTGTACTTTGACACATCTCTTCCACGTCTGGTTCACAGAGGGCCGCTGGGTTTCTGCAAGTGCTTCTGCTTTTGTTCTTGTGTGCTGTGTTGCTTGGGTTAGGATATCAAGAAAGCTGACCTCACAGAAGCAGGTGGGTAGAAGAGCAAGGGGCATTTAATAGTCTCTGCAGATAATGAGGAGGAGTCCTCTCCCGAGCAACACGAGACTCAGCCAGTGGTAGTTTCCTGAGGGTCCTCACAGCGTGGGCCTGGAATTACAGTGGAGTGTTCTTCCCTCTGCTGTGAGGACCTGAAGGCACTGGCTGCACCAGAATGGCCTCTTGCCCCTGCCTGGTGCTGCCAGCCACAGGGTCCCCAGCTCTACCAAGTACTGACCCCATTGAGTGACATTCGAAGAGCACATTAAATATTTAAATAACATTGAGATACTGTGTAACATTTCAAAAACATGTGTGTTCAAAAGCCATTTCAAAAAGGACTCCTCCAAAAAGTCCTTAAATATATTGTTTTCAAAGTCTCATTGATGGATACAAGTTTTCCAAAACTTGATTTTTTTTTTACTCAAATGTTGAAGTTTTATAATTGGCAACAAACTCTGCCAGTTATTTGCCTTGAAGTGACCTGCTTGCTTCATTAACTTGCAAGTAGTTATTTGCCAAATATCCGGGTCTGACCAAGCAGGTCTGTCCATCACTGCCCCGTGGAGTGGAAGTGTGCTCTGGGGACAGCTGTCACAGTGCATTGGCTGGCCTGGGCTTTCCCTCTGTCAGTTATTAGGTGGTTTGTGGCACATCATGCAGACGGCCCATTTTGTCACAGAGAAAGACGTGTGCTTCATGCTTGAAACTGAACAAAATTATCATGGTCCTTCGTTACCTGACAAAGGTGACACCCCAGAAGCACACTGTGAGGCCTTTTCTTGCTGTGTGAGCATGTAAAGGGTTAATCTCACAAACTAGACACACTTGGCTGCGATGTTCAGGGTGTCGCTCCTGGGCCACATGCCTGTTCATGATGTCACTGTGCACGGCAGACACCCCCAGCAAAATGGTGTGACTTAGCACACAAGGAGCATTCTGATAGTCTGTGCAGACAGTGAGGAGGACTCCCCTCCAGTATGACCCCAGACTCAGCCAGTGGTAGTTTCCTGAGGGTCACAGAAAATGCGCAGCTAAAATGTGGTGTGAAAGACAAAATGTGGGAAGGATGGTGGCCCTGCAGGACGGGGTGCTGCCTGGTAGCCACAAGCCAAGGGGCGCCAGGCCCAGGATTCCACGGGCGTCCCCTGGAGGACAAGCCTGCACGCTGAGGCTGCACCAACTGACTTGGTCTTACAAGAGTGCTGGTGCACACCCGCGTGAGCAGTGCTGGGCCATGACCCACAGCCGTGTCTTGGGAACAGGGTGTGTTGGTCATCACAGTCTCTCAGAGTCACAGTCCTGTCTGTGGACCTTCAGTGCCGGGGACATGATGACGTGCCATGTGGCTGGAATTCACTCCTCTGGCTCATCAAGGACACTCAAGCACGTGGTTGGCCTCAGGGCCTGATGGATGGCCGCCGTGTTGGCGGGTCTGTGCAGGCCCTGACTGTGCCCTGGCAGGGCAGTCTCACCCCTGCTTCTGTATCCCCAGGCAAAGCTCCTCAATGTAGCACAGAACAGGCGTTCCATGCCCTTGAGGACTCCTCCCAGGGCTCAGCGTCCCCAGAGGCCGAGTCCTCACTCTGGAAGTGGGGACCGTCCTCTGTGGCTGTCCATTGTTTAGTGGGATGGACAAGATATTCTGGCACAACCAGAAAACCGTGTCCCTGAAAACCCCCAGATGTTTTATGCCTTCCCCACAGTGCGGTCAGTCCTCCCGGCACCTCCTGTCCTCCCGGCCTCTCAGCACAGGACAGGCACGCTGACAGCAGGCCCAGGGTCTTAGGGAAACCCACCTGCCACCATATACCAGAGCCCCTCCTCTTCTGGCATGCTTGGAAGCAAAATGCTGACCCCGTCAAGAATGATAAAGGACCTGTCTCCACAGCACTGCAAACGGGCGTTAGAGCAAGTCGACGCAGCACTGACGGAGTTCAAATGGCCAGTCAATGAGCAAAGGCGTCTGAATTACGTATCACATGTAGCAGCTGTCGCGGGCGTTATGGGGGCTACCCCTGTGACCCACTTTTCCTTGTCCATACACACAGCTGCCTCAAAGAAGGGAGAGGTGTTCACCACACATGCAGGGAGCTTTGGGTCTTCTCCAGGAGGTTCTTGAGTAACAACTGTGGCCGGCTGCTCCGTGGAGTGACATTATTTGCAATGATGTATTTCAACACTGAAACTTTCATTCTCCAAAGCCACAGTGTCCTTCCTTACTTTTTGTTTTCTTTAAATATAGAGTTTAAAAATTAGGAGCATTCTTTCTTTGTAGAATTGAAGCAGTCCGAGATGTGGTGCTCTCATGGGGTCTAACGGAACTCAGGTGTGGAGTGCTGGTCCCTCTCTGAACACAGCTCTACCTCGAAGTCCCCTGACTCAGGCTGTTTTTAGGCGCGACCTGAGCTGACATCTGCTATGTGAGGTTCTCGTTCAGCAACAGAATGCACCCAGGAGACAAGTCCCAAGCTCACCTTCCTCTCGTCGGTTGGGTACTGGGCAGCGTACCACAGGCTCCGCTTCCTCTCCGCAGTTTTCTGGTTGGAGCTGCAAACCAGGGATCTGTCCTCCTCCTTGGTCTTCTCGTCCTGCACCTGAAACAGCCACAGAGACAGATCTGCCTCTGTTATGGTGTGGATGTGAGGTGTCCCCCAAAGCTCACGGGTGAGACATGCAAGAAGGTTCAGAGGAGAACTGATTGGGGTGCTAGAGCATTAAACCCAACCAGTGAATTAATCCCTTGATAGGGATTAATGGGGTGATAACTGAAGTAGTGGGGTGTGGCTGAAGGTGGGAACTGGGGCGTGGCTTTGGGGTATATATTGGTGTCTGGCAAGTGGAGTCTCTGCTTCCTGATCATCATGTGAGCTGCTTCCCTCTGCCGCACTCTCCTGCCATGAGGTCCTGTTTCATCTTGAGTCCCGAGGAGTGGAGCCTGCTGCCTATGGACTGAGACTTCTGAAACTGTGAGCCCCCAAATAAATTTTTTGTCCCCTAAAATTGTTCTGGTCAAATCTTTTAGTAGCAACAGCAAAAAAGCTTAGACAGCCTCCGAAGCAGATCTGGGTAGCCTGCTTTGTATCTTTGCCCCACGTGATTATTTTTCAAAGTTAGTGTATACTCTATGGGATTTGATCAACACACTCTTAAAAACCACAAAAACGCTCTCTGGTACTTGACAAGAATGTCAAAGTGGTCCCTGATTCCCACGACACCACACGTCCCATGACATTTCCCGGTGTGAGCACCCCGGCTTCTCAGTGTGGACCTGCATTGCACTAGAAACAGCTGTGCTCCGGGGCCGAGCCTTCACGAGAGGGCAGGGCTGCTGCGTGAGCCAGCCCAGGGACCTGTCCCTAAGATGGTGTTGACAAAGGCAGGTCCTGCCGATGCTCACAGGTGGCATCAAGCAGGAGCACATCTAGTGCCACAGGAGCACACCTGTGGCCCTGCCTGATGAGGCGCCCGCTGGCCCTGTTAGTGGTGGTGCACAGGACGGAGTCAGTGTGAGCAGACAGCCGGTGCTTTGGTATGTTTTCCCAACAAAGGCGACCCCACAGAGGGGACACTAGCACATCACCAACCCTGGAGTGGGGAGTGTGGACATAGCTTTACTGCCCGACATAGGGTTCCAGTGTGCCAGACAGAGCACCTGAGGGGAGCAGCCCCGATCCCTGGCCTGCAAGGGCTTTATGCAGGCAGTGCCTGGCTTGGGCGGTTCTGCTGCCAGCTCAGGGGCTTCACAAGGGGGCTGAGACGGGCACCAGCAGGGATGGGGCTGTACCATGTGTTGCGTGCCTTGGGCTAACAGTGGGTACCCAACCACCACTGGTTTCATTGTGTGACAGTGTCCAACAGACGGCACGTGATATTCAGCACTACATACAATGGGCTTGTAACAGGTGATTTTGCCCAGCTCCAGGCTAACCTGCGGGTTCTGGCATGTCTAGATTGGCTGGGTCCTGCAGGGACCTACAGCTTCTCTGACTCCATGGCATGTCTGCTTGTGAGGCCTCCTGGGGGCAACCCTGTGGCAAATGCAGGGGCACCGGACACCTGACTCTCAAGGTCTGCTTCTCTCTAACCCCAAACACATCTGATGGGCCTTTACCTGGGTATGTACTTCAGGTGGCTGGCATTTTCCACAAGGTGTGCCAGGTCATCTGGAACTCTGATATCATCAGAGCCTGCCCTTGGACACTGCCCAGTGAGAAAGGCCTTCCCCGGCCACTGTGTGTACTAACCACCTGGAATGTGGACGCTAGCTTAATCCCTGTACTCCATACCCTCCAGGCACAGAGGCTTGGTCACTGCCATTGCCTGTGCACGGCGGCGGGCTTCTCTCCCAGCACTCTCTGCCCCTCGTTCCCAACAGCCCAGAGTAGCAACAGCAGAACAAGAGCAGACCTTTGCCCTGTACTGCGTCCTCCAGAGACCACAGGACCACAGGGAAAGCTACAGGCGCTGGAGCTCAGAATCACTCCAACACCTTCATTTCCGTAATGTGTAAGGAGTTCCTGTTTGGACTTCTTCTGTACGTGTTCTTGGTTCTGGACATACACATGTACATATCCACGTGTTTGTGCAGTAAGTGAACACAGTATTTTCATGGGTTTTACTGGCACAAATTTTAGAAGAGAACTGGAAAAACTGCAACATGAGTGCCTCACTCCCTCTGACCCTAGGAGTGTTTTCTCGCTATGTGTCGGTCATCAGTCCCTAAAGGTAGGGTGATCTGTGAGAACCTTGCTGACAGGATGGTCCTTGTGACCCTGCCCCTGCCCATGGCTCCCCCACAGCCCAGTGCCTGTCCACACATGGGGAAGAGGCACCACACAGGAGGGCAGACAGATCACTGCGTCCACAGACACACAGCTCGCCCAGTGCCGCTGTCCCTCTCTAATACAGATACTCTTCACTCTGGACAGCTGTTCATTGGAAGAACACAGGGTCCCTATGAGTGTAAGCCTGGCGCTCGTGGCCCTTGCCTGCTGGGCTCTAGCTTTAGGTGGGATGCAGAGGGAAATATTTGTTGACTGACAGATGGAATTAATGTGCAGACCTCCCAGTCTGGGTGTGAAGACAGGGGCCAGGAAAGCAGAAACCTGCTTGGGCCCCAGGACAGAAGAGATCCAGAAGGCCAGACTGGAGGGGGACCTGGGCTTAGGTAGGTTGGCTCAGCAGTTGTGGCTTGAGCGGCGCCCCCTGCAGGTGGTGAGGAGAAGGCACGACACCAACACCTCCAGGGCCTGTCTCCTGCAGGAGCCAATAGGCCGCCTCACATGAGCCTCTCACAGCCCTTTAGGGAAAGAGAGGAGGACAGAAACCTTTTATTGCTGAAAAAAAAGAGAGAAGCCATGCAAGCTGCAGTCCTCCCCTTGAAATCCCAAGGACATAAACTAGTTCTCAATCGTGCAGAAAGGTAGGGTCCTGTGCACCTGACTGCACGGCAGGCATGGGCCCCCCGAGCTAGACCACCTCCACAGCACCCTCAGAGGACAAGAGTACTGGAGAAGAAGGGAGCCCCAACCACCGTGAGCGCGGGGCATGCGGGCGGTCTTGCAGACCTCAGTGTGGCTGAGCGCACTGGCTGGGATGGACTTGCACCATCAGTGTGTGAGCTCAGCCTCATTTTCCTCAGCTGTGAGATGGCACAACACTTACCTTCCAGAGGCAGGCGGTGGGCCCAGCTAGCATTGCTTTATGCTAGAACCTGCTCAGTGACAACGAACACTCCCACCCCCAGGTGAAGCAGCACTGTGCTCTCAGCAAAGGAAGCTGGTCTCCACTCTGGTAGTATTCTTGTTCGCTTACCGCTGTTTGCAGAATTGATCACTATAACTAACACACTGGCGCCATGCTGGGATATGTTACTGATCAGTCGGGGATAGCAGGAATGGATATATTGGGATACAATACTGATCAGTCAGGGACAGCAGGAATGGCCGTGTTGGGATACAGTACTGATCTGTTGGGGATAGCAGGAATGAGCCGTTCAGCCTGTGGGCTCCAGGTCCCTAAGTGGACAAGAGCAGGAAACCTTTGGTCCTTACGAGGGGTTCTTGTAACCAGATGCGGATCAGCGTGGCCAGCGTGTAGTACATCACCAACAGCAGGATGGGGTTGGCATGGTGGTACCAGGATAGCTCTGGGTTTACTACGATCTTCCAGGTACTGGAACAGTCTGTCTGGATTACTGATTTGATACCAAACAACCTGTTTAAAAACAAAGACAGTCACTTGAAAGCTGCAGAAAACTGTGTTTCCTTGACACAGGTCAACTCCTGCCGGTCTGGGTGTACGACTGCACAGTTGCCCAGTAAGGTACAGACGTGTCTGATGGGAGCTCACCATGAACCTCCTGAGATCCTGCCTGTGGTGCCCAGACTGGATGCCAGCATTAGCCGGATGACCTTCACGTTGGTTCAAAAGTCTGGCTATTACTGACCCTCACACGTCTTTTAGAAATTCGCCTTTTAATGGCTGACCAGCCCTATTAAAACTTGGCACTGTTGAAAGGCCAAGTGTGTGGTAAGAGGTTACTAAGTCCGACCACATGAGCAGATGACTTGTTTCTGGCTGGATTCAGCGTTAGCTAGTCAGCTAGTGTTGATGTTATGAAGCAAATATTGAAACTGGATGTAGTCCTACAGTTCAGCAGTGAAAGTCAAATGTTACGTAGTAGAATTTCTGTAAGATGTATTTCTGTCCAATTTCATTTATGGGTTATTTGAATTTTTTCAAAGCTTATAATTGATCATTTTCCTTGAAAGATGACTTTATGTGGCTTATTAAATTTTGAAATAGTTTATTTATTTTTGCAGTACTGGACATAGAACCCAGGGGCTCTACCACTGAGCTACATCCTCAGCCCTTTGTAATTTTTATTTAGATAAAGGGTCTCACTGAATTTCCCCGGCTGATTTTGAACTTGTTATCCTCCTGCATCAGCCTCCTGAGTTGCTGGGATTACAGGTGTGCACCACCATGCCCAGCTTCAAATGGTTTATTTTTTTAATGCTGAATTCTACTATGTAATCAAAATGTCTCTGGTTATATAATGAGAAAATGTGCAAAATATAATTTCTTTAGAAATTAATTTTGATGTACAGTTTTTCTAAGAGATGTTACTAAAAGCATAAAACTTTTACATGATAAATGTGTCACCTACCTTTCTATTGTTTACATTTGTTCTAATTAAACCTCCTTTAATTTTTACCTTGCATTCTTCGTTCAGTTACAAGACCTTCAAAGACTGCCTTTCACCTTTAAAACTTCTCAGCATTGTCTGTTCCCTGTCGAAATGTGAGTGCAGCACTGCTTTGTTGGACACACATTTTAAAGCAAGATAAATAGAAATTTAGCTTTCTTCAATTTTATCAGAAAAAAAATTAATTGCACTAGTACTTGGTTTTATTGTAGGTCTCTTTTCTGACATCCAGGAAGATTTTATGTAGTTAGCATTTGAAAGAAAGAAATGCACTGAAATATTACCCCAAACTCCACAATAAGTACATGATAATCAGAAGCAAAATAAAATACATGTTGAAAAAGGAAAATTCCTGAGTCCACATAGAAGAGTGGAACGTCCCAAAAATATTTTCCAACCCTATATATTCATACAAATTTCTGTATAAAGTACTCAGGAAGGAAAGCTCTTACAATTCCTCCTGATGAGCTGGTTACCCCTTTTGAGCTAATTTAAGTGGAAGATTTTAGCTACCAAATCAAATCCCCACACCTGGCACATCAATGAGAAATGACCTCATTTAATCTCAGCTTTAAAATACCTGTTTTGCCCCATTAGAAATTTAACAGCAACTTTCCAAAGCTGTGGGTAAATGAATTCATGTGTCACATCAACATCTCACACCTGAGCAATGAGCAATGCTCTTATAACTTCCTGCCCCTTTCCACACACTCCGTGCGGAATCAGACTCACATCTGTGCTACCAGGTATGGATCTCAGCTGCAGCAGGAGCTACAGATGGCGGCTGTTGACTCCTGCAAGGAATCTGTTTCCAAGCAGAGAATGTGAACACTGTAAGGCCTGGGGCTTCTCTTTCCTTCTTAAAAGACATTGGATATTGCAGAAAGGATTCCTATGGTAGATGGGAAATCTGTACTCGAAAGGTCACATCCTTGTGGCCCTGCAATTCTGGCACCTTCTGCAGTATCTTACTTTGATTAAATTTCCTAAGCCAGGATTGCATCTGGATGCTGACAGTGCAAAGAAAGTGGTTCCCCAGCACCTGTCCTGGGAACAGGCGGGCCACCGCACTGCAATGATGCGTAGGCAGCTCCTCCGTCTGACAGGTGTCAGGAAGCCTCCCCTGTGGGGTTGGGGACAGGCAATGGGAAAAGCAGCCTGAAAGAATATGGATGGGGGGCAGTTGGTCCAAAAAGGTTAGATGAGGAGATGAGAAAGAAATTTGAAAGCTTTGGAGAGATTTTTCCAGGTAATGGGGCTGGGCTGGGGAGAGAGTGGGGAACTGAACTTGGTGAGATCAAAGTCTGTGTTACTGTTAAAGTGTCACTGAATGTTGTCAGCTCCATTCTATCTGAAGATACTCACATGGCTGCGAGGGTCGTCACAGCATCCTGGGCTAGCATTCAAACCGACTGGACAGAAGCACAGTCAGCCCCTCATATCTCTGCTTTCTGCATCCACGAATTCAACCGAACACACATCAAAAACGTTCGGAAAAATATTCTGTCTGCTTTGCACACATGCTGACGTTTTTACTTGTCATTATTCCCTAAACAATACAGTATAGCCGTTATCTGCACAGCATTCACTTTGTGTTAGACACTACTAGTAGTCCAGAGATGGCATAGCCATTTAAAATAAGGAACAAGCACCCATGGTTTGGGGTATCCATGGTGGGGGGGGGCGGGTCCCGGAACCAACTCCTCATAGCACTAAGGGATGACTTTGTCTTTAAAGTTTGTTCATCATGAACAGCACTTAAAAACAATGATCTCAAATCTCTATATAAGCGTCTCTTTGCCTGAGAAAAGATGGCAAAGGTACAGGATAGTGAATTCCCAACAACTGCTTATTTGGAAACATAAAGCTTTTCTGCTCCTCTGGGAGATCTCTTACTTATCGCTCTTCCAAGCCTGGCTGTGCTGACCGTGTTTATGGGCACGTGTGTTAAGTGACTTGCCTGTTGGTGAAATCTAACAGGATGGAGGATGGAGGGTGTAAGACTTTGGACTTTTTTGAGAAGATGTTAGGCTAACTACTGAAGATTCGGCCAACCCTACTGTTCCCCACAGTGGCTGAAGGCAGCTCCTAGGACACTCATTTCCTGGCGGAGACGGATGGGAGCCGTGGGGCAGGCCCACTTTGGTGACGGCCTGCCTTGCTCTGCTGTCTCCTGATAGGTTGGGATTCCTTTCCACGGAAGGGGCTGCACTTCTCTTCTCGAAAAGCTCCAAGCCAAGCCCATTCTCCCAGTCTCTGGTTTCTGTCCAGTCCCAGGGTGACCTTGCCAGAGTTCCCTCATGAGGCCCTGGGTCTGTGTGCTGGCTTCCCCTTCCTAAGCCTCCTCCTCCACAGCCTGGGGAGTCACCCCAAGTCCCAGTGAGTGCTCCCAAGGCCTTTGGCACTCAGGTCTCATCTGTCCCAGATGTAAATCCGAGCTACACTGGACTATCCAGGTTTACCATACAATCCTTTTTCATTCTTTAAAGTATATTTTGGGTCATGTATGGTACATGTTTATCTTTGTTCTCTACTGGCTGCAAACAAGAATCTTGAATTCTATTTTCTGAATGAATCAACAAAAAGATGTATATAGTTAAACATAAGACTCTTTCTTCCTTTTTTTATGGGGGTGGGGATGGATCCAGCACTCTCTCGGTGCTGCAGGGTCTTCAAGGAGTCTGCACCCCACAGAGTGCTGGCTTTCCTCTTTCCTCTGCCTCTGAGCACACATGGCGTCTGGCATCCCGTGGTGACTGAACTACGGGACATTTGTGCTACTCACACAGTTGGCAGATTTACAAAGCCTGCACCTGTGCTCAGGTTCCTCCCCGACTCCGTCTGCTGGGCTCTAGAAACACAGGAACCCAGACCTATGCAAGCAACACGTAATACTGAAACAGACACCACACGGTAAAAATAAGTTTAACTGTGGTAAAATGCACGTAAATTAAAACTGACCAGTGTAACCAAGTATACTTTTAAGTATCTGACGTATGTATCTAGATCTCTCTCTTCATATATGTCACATAAATTGTCTAGAGAAAAACAAGTATACATCTAGATCAACAACACAAAAAGTTTCAAGGCATATTTTAAATATTATTTAATGTTTAGAATACTTTTATATTTATGGAAAAGTTGAAAATATAGTAATAAAATCCCCTGTGCTCAGTGTCCCCTACTGTTGTCATCTCACTTTAGTATGGCACATTTGACAGAACAAACACACCAATCATGATACGTCATCTTTAACTATAGTCCATACTTGATTCAGATTTCCTCAGTTCTTATTTAATCCCCTTAGTTCATCCCAGAATTCCATCCAAGGAACTGCACTGTTTAATCACCATGCACAGTGCTTATTTGTTGGCTGATTTGACTTTTACCACTATGGATGCCTGGGTAGGACTTTACACCTTGGGCTTTCCTCCAATACTGCTTTATTTATTTGGTTGTTCAGACTGTTCCAGCTATGACATTGGGAGCTCTCTTCGTTTGCTACTGTGCTCATGTGAGAAGCCCCATCGTTTTGCTATTTTCTGGCTCTAGGAAACGTTCCAGGCTCATTCTGTAGATACCCTGACCAAGCCCTCATCTCCAATGGGTACCAGTGGAAAATGGTATTTAGAAACCAAGAGCTGGGCTGTCAGGGTGCTCAGTGTTGCTGGGGCCCACTGTTGCTTCTAAGTCCTCTGCTGAATGTGCAAGGCAGTACCTGTGCATATACACATATCTGAACATTTTCTGTGACTCCTCCTGTAGTTGATGTTAAGAGATCATGGTATCATACATAGGACTGCAACTCCATCACCATCACGTTGTTCTAGTCTTCCCCCTTTCTTATCTGTAGCCTTCCTCTAAAATAGTGAGGAATCTGCTACCCCATTGGCCACCCACTTAATTATTTGTTCAATTTCACATACATAGATAGTGCTTTTAGAATTGTCACCCTGTACCTCATGGGGAATGATTTTTACCAATTAAAGCCCAGAGCTTATATACA